CTGAGATTTGATAAATCTTCAAATAAAAAGAAAGAATTAAAAAAAAACATAATAAATATCTTTTTTTTTCTCTTTACTTGAAAAGATTAAATTATTAAGATCATGTAATATAAAGGGATGTTTAAAAGAAAATTATAAATAAACGAAGTTCATCATATTGATTATGAAAAAATTGGTCGAATTGTTGTTGGTCTTAAAACATTTGAAAGAACATAAAGATCTTCTAAACATCCAACCTATATAAAAGACAAAAATAACAAACAATTTGTATTCGAGTTGATGCTTAAACGTGTAATAAATGATGAATTTTATATATCCATTGACATGGTAAAAATGAATTGCGATCAACAAACCTTAAAATCAAAAAGTAGCTAATAACTAACTTAATGTAATAAAATCGACTTATTCATTCAAACTCGAAAAAAGCTACGTAGTTATTATCTCTTATAACATACCATATCAACACACTAAAAAAAGATTTACATTGAAATTAAAATCATTCATTATTTGTTGAATACTGATTGAAAGATGTTGTTGATTTGTATCAATATTTTTACTTCTATTCATTGATTGTTGATTATTGCTTGATTATGATTGAAATTCTTAGATATTTAAACCAAATAATTGAGAGTCGGGATGTGTAGGGATAAGCAATACAAACACTCACACCCACTTCTCAAAATGCCTGAGTCTTCTTAAAGCACATTCGCCATACTTTCTTCGGATGCATCTAACGAAGTTTGAGTGATAAATAGAGTTTTTCATACATCGAACGATAAAATAAAAAATATAAAATTTTTCATTTATTTATTTTGAAGCTTTCAACACTACTTCTATAATTATCAATTTAAAAAAAAATTTTACGATAGAAAATATTTATATAGAGATTAGAATAAAGTTCAAAGTCTAATGAATCATCATTACTCAAATTTACGCTTATACAAGCATCAGTGTATATTTTATCATTGCAACAACACGAAACGCAAAGGTAAGGTAAAAAAGGAAGAAGTAGAATATATGAAAAACGAAACGTATTTTATGACGAACACATGGTCGAAAAAGTCGTTTACATGATGAAAACGTCATGCTTCATTGATTCATGTAAATATACGTTTGTGGGAAAAAACCAAGTAATTTTGTCAATAATAAATACAGAATAAAATCGATTGCAAGCACACAAAACAAAATTTGCTACACTCCAATATTACATAGCACGTAAGTGTATTTAGTTTCTAACATTATTAGACTAGTAAGAAAATTAAAGTTAAAAGTAAAGAGTAGCTACACACAAAAAAATGACGGTACATAAACATGTGTTATTTTTATGTTTATAAAGTAGTTTTACGAGAACTTCGCTTGATAATACTCAGAACATGCAACCGATTGTCTTGGTTGCAGAATCTTGTATGTATAAAACAATCTTATTGTAAAACATATTAAACAGAGTAACTGTTTCTATGCATAAATTTCAACGCGAGTACCAGTAATGAAAGGCACAATTTTTACTTTTAGAAATATTCTTTTTCTGGTCTACCGACTAATCTGGACTGATTAGATAGAGAAACTGGTTAGACATGTCGAAGTTTGAAGACATTCTGGACTAATTCAGACGTAGCTGCAGGAGTTTTCATGTCAGGATAACTAGTTAGGACAGGTATTTTCGACATTTCGGACTAGTCATGTCGTCCATCCTCAGCGACTATTTGTTTGCTTAGTCATTCTTCTTTATTTATGGTTCGATGTATTTTGTCAGTAACACTCTTGAAACAAAAATGAATCAGATAGTAGAGGTTCTTGAAGTCTGTAGTAACAAGTCAGAAAAGGAATGATGTTAACCAACAAAAAATTTAACAATTATAAATATAGGAGGACTACGTTTCACTGATTATATTCATTCGTTCAATTACAATGAGCAAACAAAAATCGACAACAACTGTTATCAGTGGTGCAGCAGCGATGCCTAGCACCACCACTATTACCAACGCGAACAATTGTGCTGCTGCTGTGCTGCCTCGACCTAAGCGTCGAGAGCTTCAAAACTCTCTGCTGGTATGGCTTGATACCAATTTCGATGAATCCAAAGGCGACTATAAAAAATCAATACAACATTTACGAAATATTTTAGAAACAGTGACAACATTTACAGACATTGACGAATGTATTGATTTTCTAAGTGATATTGAAAATGAAAATGTATTTATGATCATCTCTGGTGCCCTGGGACAACATATAATACCGGTAATTCAAGAATGCCCACAGTTAGTCTCAATTTATATTTTCTGTGATAACCAATTGATTCATGAACGATGGGCCAAAACAATTGCTAAAGTAAAAGGTGTGTACACACAAATTGAACCGATTTGTGACGCATTACAAATCGATCGAAGAAATTGTGATCAAGATATGATCTCGATCAGTTTTAATCGTATTGATCCGTTATTTATGTATACACAATTGCTAAAAGAAGCACTCTTGGAGATCGAAGATGACGATGTCAAATCGATTAAAGAACTTGTTGAATACTGTCGCCTTCAAAGCGATGCTTCCGAAAAAACACTTGAAAAGATTGAAGAAGAATATCGTAAACATTCACCCATTTGGTGGTACACAGGTCCATATTTTATCTACTCAATGCTTAATTGTGGTCTTCGACAAATGGATGTCGATATTATCCTGAAGATGGGCTTCTTCATCCGACATCTACATCAGCATATTACCGAACTACATCACGAACAAAAAGGCAGCATGCCAACAAATTTTCAAGTCTTCCGTGGACAAGGTTTGTCCATGGAAGATTTTGAAAAAATGAAAAAAACCAAAGGAGGACTTATGTCCTTTAATAATTTCCTGTCAACAAGTCGTAATCGCGAGATATCTTTCAAAAACTTTGCACGACCAGCAGCATTTAATTCAAATTCAGTTGGCATCCTTTTCATTATGAACATTGACACGGCTATTTGTACAAATTCATCGACACCATTTGCTGAAGTAAGCAAAGTTGGTTACTACAAAGATAAAGAGGAAGAAATACTATTTTCAACACATGCGATTTTTCGTATCGATCGCATTGAACGAATTCCCGATAATCACTCTGATCGGCTATACGCAGTCACTCTCACTATTGTGGGTAATGACAATCATGAATTGAACACACTTACTGCACATATACGTAAGGACCTTGGTGGTCGCACAGGATGGTCTCAACTTGGTCTCATACTTATTAAAGTGGGCGAACCTGCAAAAGCTGAACAACTCTATCAGATTCTCCTCGCAAAGGCGTCTTCTGATCAAGATCGAGCGGAATACAATCATCAACTTGGCTGGGTGTATAAAGACATGGGCGAGTACTCAAAAGCACTTTTATATTATGAAAAATCACTGGATATTTACAAGAAAATTCTCTCTCCAAATGATCTCAGTTTGGCTAGTTCCTACAACAACATCGGTGCGGTGTATTATAACATGGGCGAGTACTCAAAAGCACTTTCATCGTATGAACGATCACTTGAAATCCAGAAAATAGCTCTCCCTCCGAATCATCCCGACTTGGCTGCTTCCTATCTCAACATCGGTACGGTGTATTATAAGATGGGCGAGTACTCAAAAGCACTTTCATCGTATGAACGATCACTTGAAATCCAGAAAATAGCTCTCCCTCCGAATCATCCCGACTTGGCTTCTTCCTACGAAGGTATCGGGTTGGTGTATAATGACATGGGCGAGTACTCGAAAGCACTTCTATCGTATGAACGATCACTTGAAATCCAGAAAATAGCTCTCCCTCCGAATCATCCCGACTTGGCTGCTTCCTACAACAACATCGGCTTGGTGTATGATAACATGGGCGAGTACTCAAAAGCACTTTCATCGTATGAACGATCACTTGAAATCCGTAAAATAGCTCTCCCTCCGAATCATCCCGACTTGGCTGCTTCCTACAACAACATCGGCTTGGTGTATAATAACATGGGCGAGTACTCAAAAGCACTTTCATCGTATGAACGATCACTTGAAATCCGTAAAATAGCTCTCCCTCCGAATCATCCCGACTTGGCTGGTTCCTACAACAACATCGGTATGCTGTATGATAACATGGGCGAGTACTCAAAAGCACTTTCATTTCTTGAAAAAGCACATGAAATTGATCGCAAAACATTGCCACCAAATCATCCACATATCGCACAATCGAAAAGAAACATTGAAAATGTAAAAAAGAAAATGTAATTGTTTTTTTTTCGTTTTTAAAGAGAAAATAAACTGGCCATCTTGAAATCTAAGCTCGCTGAAGCAAGCAGATGCAAAATTTCGCGCACGCGCGACCAGGGATACCCTCCGTATTCTGCTGGCTCGTACAGTGGACAAAGCCGGCAATGGTTAGGCAAACATACATCGATGTATGTATGAATAGTACGACCATGATCATCATCTTCGAAAAGACGATGACGAAATGGACGCTTCTATTCATACATACATTGATGTATGTTGTGAAGGCCTACCATCTGCACGCCTGCACGGGTCACCAACAGAACGTCGGATATCCCTGAGAAGGTTCCATTGTTTTAGAGCCACCCTCAAAAGCTCCATTAGTTAGAAAATTATTTTTGTTCTTCTGTTACGAAGAACGAGAAGAAGTAGAAACGGAAGAAAGAAAAGATATGAAAACGGAAAGACGCGATAAAAGACGACGTCGACGTAACAGAATGATAATACGCAGCGCATGATAACAACCGGTGTTTGTCAAGCAATGCAATATTGAGTGCACGATATCTTTGTCGTCTTTAAACATTTCATGTTCAATTCGTTTGGGTTTCATCTCGAATGTGTAAGGATAACTTGAATGTCGTGCACTCGCCATTCTAACAAACGAAGGATGATTGAATGAAACGACAGATAAAAACAATACATTCGCCGTCAATTTGAGTAATAACTCATGCAGTGCATATCTTGAAATAGAGATAAAGAATAGAAAAAAAAGAAAAGTTTTAAATATATTCTTTTTTATACTTTATAATGATATGTGATGGTTATATTAACATTGATGTTCTAAAAGAACAAAAGTTATTCGAAAGATACTTATCAGACTTTCTGTTATTAAATGAGCTTTAATATTAATATGCCATAAGAAAATAAAAAGTATAAATATTTTTCTTTATATTTTCATGAAACAATTCTTAAATTATTTAAACTTTAAAAAAACTTTGATTAGATAAGGAAAATCTAATTAACAAATTTCATAGATATTTTATGTGAATAATTGAATTTTTATTTGAAAAAAAAATTGCTCCTTAACGTCAACAAACTCATGAACAAAATATTTTTTTTTATTGAAAATGATCAATAATTCGATGTTATTGCTACTTTTATTCAGGATTATGAAATCATTTTTTCACATCTTATTTCGACTAACATTAACATATTTTTTTTTGAAGGTTACAATTGAAGATTACGAATATTATTTTGATCAATTTTAATTTTTAATAGTTATTTATTATATTCACAATAAGATCTTAATTTCAGTTCTAAAATATTAAAAAAATTATAAAAAATTAAATGATCATATAGGTAATTTATGAAAAAGCTTTCATTTTATCTTTAAATATTATCTTGGGATGATGTTAATATCAATGTTAATCGATGTGATACTTCAACTTTAACGTATTTTACTCGATACGTTTTTCATTTAGGTTTAACAACTTGGCCAACACTTTGTTTGTGTTTTGATTGATTTTTATAAAATAAAACATTAAAAATCATTGTCTGTTTATAAAATTTGAAGGTTAATAATTAAACATAGTTTTATTCTCTATCACACCGACACCCTGTAAAATTCATCCTTGACTTCTGATGATCATAATCAACGATATGGTTTACGTTTTTGAGTTAAACCTAATATCTAATTTCTGGCTAAGAAAAAGGAGACATTTCTGTATTTTCAATAACTCATCTGATACTTTGTACTGTAAGATGATTTCTAAAACAAATCGTTTTCGTAAGACATTTCAAAAAAAAACCTAACGATGTTCCATTTTGATGTAGGTTCAATTTTTGACATCTGCTTCAATTTCACAGTTCTAGATACGGTTCAGATGATTAATTTCTCACAATTTTCTCTTCATTTAAATTTACTTGAAATTAAAAAACATTTTCATCTATGTTTTAGAATTTTTTACAAGGAGTATAGATTTCAAAGTAATTTTTTCTTTAATAGAATCAGATGAAAAGATTTCTAATAGAGTTGTCTTAGTTTAATTGTTGTGAAAGGCACAAGCAACACTGGCTATTGCTGTTATCAAGTTATTGAGATTACACTGAAAAGTTAGATTCTTCAACGATGATAGTAATATAGCTATTTTTTTGCCAAGTAAACGACAGAAAATTGATAAAATGATTTTCTTTTCGTTGAATAAATTCCAATTTTTTACATAACTTCAACAGAGAAATAATATGATACTACCTTCTAGATTAAAAATTAAATAATTTATTTTGTATCTGTTTCAGTCAGATAAACCTAAATTGAAATAACGACATTGATTTTTTATGACGATTTATATACAGTATCTAGAAACGTATCTGACAAAACTTAAACCTTATGTTCTTTGAGGTTTTGTTTGTTCTTGTTTTCGGTGTTTTTTTATTTTGGTTTTTGTCTCTGATAAAAAAAATTTCCTATACCAAGAATATAAAATATCCTTGAGAAATCGGTGACAGGAGAAAGAAAAAAAGAAGGTATGCTTTTGTTTTGTTCTTCAATAAGCACGTTTTTTTTGTTGTTTTTATGATAGTTGTTTTCAATTTTTTTTCTTTCTTTTCATATTGTGGAATTCTGTTTTTAGAATCTAATCTGGGAAAAAAATTTGATCGAATCATGACATTCTAAAAGCACGAAAGACAAAAAAAAAATTTCTATCAGTGAAAGCACTAATACAGCGAATAAATTCATCATGACTTAGTTTTGTTTCGACTGTGGTGAAGATAGTCGGAACAAGTTCAAATATGTGGATAGCTTTTATAGAATTGAATATAGATTTAAATCACCATTTGCTTTTTTAAAAATATACTCATGATGATAGCAGATACGTATTTACATCAGCATCAATAATGATTCTTTTTCAAAAATGGTATTTCAAAAAAACAGAAAATTTTGTTTGCGTCTATAATCGGTTCTTGCTTTTGAAATTTTTAAACAACTCTTTCTATTACTATGTGCGTCGTATACCGGGTGTTGCAAAAGTTTTGCGACATATTTTGTTTTGCGTATATCTCGACTTGAGAAACTGATAAAATCTTGATTCTTTTTTTCAAAAGATGCGCTGTGAAAAACTCTACAAAACCTGTGTAAATAAATCCTTATTAACTCGTCCTGATAGTTATCCCAAGCTCAATATAAACAACCTCTGTGGTAGTGCTTTGTCCCCGCATGATAAAAATGTTTCGAAGACTTTTTTTGTTTAGCAGTAGGGTTCTTTTACACAATTTGTGTAGAGCTTTCGACGGCGCATCTTTCAAAAAAAGAATCAAGGTTTTATAGTTTTCTCAAGTCGAAATATTTAAAAAACAAAAAAGTTTTTCAAACATTTTTATTATTGGCACTATCATGTGGGTTGTTCATTCTAAGCATGGAAAAAATCATTAGAACACGTCAATGGGGATTTGTTTATACGGTTTTTGTAGGACTTTTCACGGCGCATCTTTTCAAAAAAAAACCCCGATTTTATCATTTTTTCAAGCCGAAATATTAATGCGAAATAAAAAGTTTTACAAACATTTTATTACAACACCACGCACATCTCCACTTTCAATCATTCTACAAAAAGTCATCACAACAAGGCAATAGAATTTCTTTTCATACTGCTTATGTAGAGCTTTCAATGGCACGTCTTTCAAAACAAGAATCAAAATTTTATTATTTTCTCAAGTCGAGATATATCCAAGACAAAAAAGTTTCCCGAACCTTTTTATTTTTAGTGCTACCATGTGAGTTATTCATTCCGAGTATAGGAAAAATCATTAGAACATATCAATGGGGATTTCCTTACACAGTTTTTGTAGAGCTTTTCACCGCGCATCTTTTCAAAGAAAAATCACGGTTTTATCATTTTGCCAAGCTCAAATATATGCGAATGTCACAAACATTTTACAACACCACGCGCATCTCTACTTTCAATCATCTAAAAAAATCATCACAACAAGACAATAGAGACTTTTTTCATACTGCTTATGTAGAACTTTGGACGGCGCATCTTTCAAAAAAAAAGTCAAGATTTTATTCTTTTCTCAAGTTGAGATATATGCAAAACAAAATAGTCTTCCAAACATTTTTATCATGCGGGGACAAAGCACTACCACAGAGGTTGTTCATATTGAGCTTGGGAAAACTATCAGGACGAGTTAATAAGGATTTATTTACACAGGTTTTGTAGAGTTTTTCACAGCGCATCTTTTGAAAAAAGAATCAAGATTTTATCAGTTTCTCAAGTCGAGATATACGCAAAACAAAATATGTCGCAAAACTTTTGCAACACCCGGTATATCTATCGATAAATTCCACAAAATAAGAAAGGCCAATTTAGTTCCAACAAAAAAAAAACGTTCTTGTTGCAAAAATGAATTTTTAGAATTACTGATTTTTACTCAACATCATCTTATATATCATGTCTTCAATCACCTTCTTTTCTTATAAAATACTTCAGACAATAAAAAGAAATTTCGGTCCAACCAAAAAGAACTAAATTTTCCTTATGTAACAGACTATATTGAAATTGTATTCAAGTTAACATTTAAAAAAAAAGAGTTTGATAAATATTAATAGAAACAATCATACAAGTTTTTCGAAAACAATATGCATAAATATTCGTTAAATTGAATTTTTTTCACAATCTCAAACTATCAATTGCTGCTGGAGACCCATAAGTAAGCTTGAATTTTGAACGTCATCTGCTTTTCATTAGCATGAATGTTCTTCCAAATCTTCAGATAAAATCTTGATCAATGACGAACAAACAGTTTACTAATTGAAATAGGTATTATTAGTATATGTAATTTTCTGATTATTTTTATCGTTTCCATGATGACTACATGACTATTCTGACAACACAGAACTGTTTTTATTTATGCATGTCTCAATTATGATAGAGTTGAAGTGTTGAAGAAAACATATCGTACGTGAAATAGCACACGACATATTGTTCGTCTGTACACATATCTGTTTGATTAAATTCAACTTT